CTCCTCTGTACCTGGGTTTCCTCTGCTGCAAAACGAGGAGTGTTAGTACCCACGGCATAGGGTTGTTAAGAGAACCACATGAATTAGTAAGTTAATGTTCATAAATTACTTGGAACTGTGCCTGGTGTATAATAAACATTATGTGTGTGTCTATTAAATATGAAGATGCAAGGAAGCGTTCAGGCAGAAAGTGCTGCTGGAACAAAAGGCATGGGAGCCAGTGTACCTAAAGCAGAGTTGGGGGAAGGAGGTGCAGTGGGAGATAAGGTGGGAGGGAATGAGGAGACCAGATGAATCAGGTTTTATAGGCCATTAGAAGGACTTGTGCCTTTCCTTCCGATGAAATAGGAGCCTGGGGAGAGGGTTTAAGCAGAGGAGTGATTGCTCGAGCTGCTGGGTTGAGGTCAGACCAGAGGGCACCCAGAGTAGAAGCAGGGAGTCCCACAAGGAGGTGGAGTGGGTTGAATATTGTCTTCCAAAATGCCTGTCCACCTGGAGCCTCAGAATGTGGCCTTATTTGGAAATAGCATCTTTGTGGATTTAATCAGTTAAGGATCCAGAGGTGAAATCATCCTGGACTTATGGTGGGCTCTCATCAAAATCTGATATCCTAAGAAGAGGAACAGACACAGACACACACAGGGAGGAAGGCCATGTGAAGACAGAGGCAGAATTGGGGCGATGCTGCCACGAGCGAAGGACCATCTGGAGCTGCTCGAAGCTGGAAGAGGCAAGGAAGCATCCTCCTCTAGAGCCTTTGGAGGGAGTGCACCCTGCTGACAGTTTGATTTCATACTTCCAGGCTCCAGAACTATGCGAGAATAAATTTCTGTTGTTTAAGTCACCCAGTTTGTGGTACTTTGTTACAGCAGCCCCAAGAAACTAATACAGGAGGTTGTTGCAGTCTAGGAGAGAGATGATATGGTTTGGACCCCGATGGTGGCAGTGGAGGTGATGAGAAGTGGTTAGATTCAGGTAAGTTTTGAAGGTGAGAAAACAGGATTTGCCGAGGGGACTGGATTGGGGATGTGAAAGAAAGAGAGGAGCCCAGGATGATTCTAAGACTTTTGACGTAAGCCAATGGACGGTGGGAAAACTCTCTTGAGAGTGGGCTTGGGAGGGAAGCAGGAGCTCAATTTTGAATATGCAAAGTCTGAGATGTCTGTTAGGCTTTCAAGGGAAGACGTGGTGAAGACCACTGGAGATTCCCATGTGGAGCCGAGGAGAGACATCTGTGCTGGAGACAAAAATTGGGGAGTTTTAAGGTCTGTATATATATACTTAAAACCAGAAGAGTGGATGAGATTACCCAGAGAGTGAGAGCAGACAGAGAAGAGGTCGAGGGCTGAGCCTGGAACACTCCAACACTGAAAGTCAGGGAAACGCAGAGGAACCAGCAAAGCAGCCCACGGAGGATTCCAGAGTCAGGAAGAGCAGAGCCTGTGATGCCCTAGAAACTGAGCAAAGAAGGCCTTTCAAGGGGGAGGGTGTGAGCACCTGTGAGCTGCTGATGGGAGTGAACTGAGGACTGAGGGGGCAGTGGATTTACAGACTTCAACACAAGTCGGGTAGGGGCAAAAGCCTCATGTGGGTGAGTTCAAGAGGGAGTGGGGAATGCACTTCAACACAAAAGGTTGGGCTTCTTTTTGTTTCTTCTGCCATTATTTTCATTAAAGAGACTGAGAAGAGAAGAAAGGACGAGCATACATAACTCTCTTGAGAAGTTTTTTCAGAGAGAATTAACAGTGTGTTTTCACCGACGGGAATGACCAGAGACGGGGGAAATTCGATGATGCAGGAGCGAGGAGGAAATGCGCTGGAGCCGTGACCCAGCATGTGCTGGGCACAGGGGAGAGGTGAGCCCTCTGTAGCATCACGGGCAGTCCCTCCAGGAGGGGAGCTAGAGGATGTGGTTACAGATGCGAGGGGGACAGCAGGTGTGGTTTGAGCATTTGTGGAACTTTCATTCTGATTGCCTTAATTTTTTCAGTAAAATAGCGAGCTAAGTCATCAGCTGAGAAGTCGGGGCACAAAGGTTCTGGAAGACTGGGGAGAAGGGAAGGAAGGAATATTTATCTGGGAAGGTTGGGAGTCAACGGACTAGGGAGATACTGCTGTGCCGGGAGTGCCAAAGGCCCACATGTGGTAAGTGCTGGTGAACTTATAGAGACCAGGCAGCAGAGATTCGTCTTTCTCCAGCCACATTCAACCGCCCTGGGGCAGGCACCGAGTGGGTTAAGCATTTGAATGTAACAAGTGAGAGGGGATCTAGAGAGTTGATGAGTGATTGCAGTGATGGGATTTAAGCTGGGTTAGGGAGGGAAGTGATGGCATGAGGGAGGTGAGACACAAAGAAAAGATGGTAGGATTGGTAGGTCCCATTGGTGTTGAGAGAGTGGATTGTTTGAGCTAGGGTACAAGTGGGAGGGAGCTGGAAAGATAGGGGTGGGATGCCTGAAATTGAGATGTTGGATGATATAGCTATTGGTAATGAATAGTATAACCCTGGAGCAGGTGAGTAAGGGAAGATGGGTGGCAAGATCATTGGAGGAGAGGCCAGGGTATTAGAAAGAATCATCTAAGTGGATACTGAAATCACCCAGAATCATATGAGATTGGGTTGAAAGAGTAGCAGTGAGCCAGGAGCCAAAGTCTTCAAGGAATGAGAGGATGTGGCCTGGGGTCCTTAGATGACCAGCTGGACCCAGTGGTTTAGTCTGATGGTATGAGAATCAAGTCTAGGAGGTTTAGAAGGACTGGAGAGACAATAGTCGGGATGGGGTAGAGGACGCCTGCACTGCCTCTAGGCCTAGTAGGAAAAGGGTCATGGAGCGAAAGGAGCCACCACTGAGAGGGCTCCAAGGGAAGCAGCGGCTCCAGGGGCAATCCCAGAAGCAAGAAGAGGAAGGAAATGTTTCAGAATAGGTTGAGGAAATCAGAGCTTTGGCTGGTGACTGTGAGTTCAAGGGGCACAGAGAACAAGTTTCAGGACCGGAGGGGGAGATGGGTCAAAAGATGGAATATCCTGAGCTATATGGGATTGGCTTGCCGAGGGTGAGGGATGACCTGGAAATCCTGGCCTTCTCGTGGTGACTCTCACAAACAGGAATAAAGGGCATCGTAATATTAGTCCCAAAGTTCCCAAGGCAGATAGCAGAACCAGGCTGTGTGTGTGTATGGCAAGAGGGAGGTGTCGAGTTTGGGGAGGCAAAAGTGAAAGGGAGTGTTGCCAGAAGCATGTAGCATCTGGGGCCCCCTCTTCTCTTGCTGTCCGTGGCAGGGTGAGGCCAGGGTGGTGGTCTTAGACCCTCCTGAACTGCACTCGTATAGTAAGCATTGCCTTTCTGTTTTCTTAGGTTAGAAAAATGACAATTAATCAAAGAAAGAAACTAGCAAAATATATAAAAAGGCAACAGGGGAAAAAACCCAGAATGACCATTACCACGAAAATAAGCTCACGTTTATTATTAAGAGAGAAAATACAAGTTTAAAAAAGAGGTATCTCTTTGACACTCATTAGATCAGCAAAATTTCTTTTTAAGAAAAAAAGCACGATATTACCATTTATTGGGAGGTATTTGAAAACAGGAACTCTCAAATCTTGCTGCTGGGTGTGTAAATTGGTAAAGACTCACAAGAGAAATTTGTCAAGAACTAGGAAAGATGAAAATGAAAATACCCAATGAGCCAGCAATTCAACGTCTGGTGAAATACTCACATGTATGCCCCAGGAGATATTGGCCAGGAAGTTCACTGCAGGGTCACTCAAAACACTGTAAACTTGGACTTGCCCATTAAGAGGCAAGTGGACAAGGCAATGTAGTCATCGCTGGCACCCTATAGGCAGCGGAGATCAATGTACTAGATCTACATGAGAGAGCTCAAATGATAGTGTTGAATGAAAAAAGCCACGTGGCTGAGGCCTCCAGACCATGAATCTGTTTAGTTCATTAAAAATCCACAAAGCAGTATGATAAATTACAGCTGCTTCTATATAATGAAACATAAAATGGACATAAATGATACACACTGACTTCAGAATGATGGCCTCCTCTTGGGAAGGAAGGAATAGGATAAGAAGTAGTACAAAAGAGAACTTCAACTATATCTAACATTTTATTTCTTTAAAAGATCTGAAGGGAATAGAGAAAAACACAGTATCTGTTAAAGCTGAGTGCTGAATACCTCATTATATTATAGTATCTCCTGGACTTTTATGTGGGTTAGAACTTCTTAAAAAGTAGAATGTTTCTAGTTTATCTATCCACGTGCAAGTTTTAGGAAAGCAAGCAGAGTATGAACGGTGCTGTAAGGACAGGGAGAATCATTGCATAGCTTCCCATTTCACCAGAATAGAGATTTAACCCCAAACCGTTGCATTCTGATTAGGAGGAATAAGGGAGTACTGAGCAAACAGGGATGTCTTCAACATTTGCTTAACCACCATAACTAACTAATTCCATATTACTATATTTAGATCTGGTAAGAGGCATATGGAAGAAGAACAAGTTTTCAAAACATTGGTCATAACTGCTAACTTTGTAAAATCAGCGCCTTTAAAATTCCTTGTGATCTTGCTTTGTGAACAACCTTTTGCTGTTGCTTTAAAGGTAATTAAAATGTATCTGATTTGGAGAGTGTTAGGAAAACCCTTGAGATACCACAGGCCCTGAGGGGGGGCTGCTATACTCCTTATTTCATTACCCGCTTCCTTCCATGGCCTTAAATAAACCCCACCGCATCTGCCCTCTCCTAATGCTGGGAGATCAACGGAGCACTGTGTCCAAGTTCTTCTCTCACAGTCTGGCTTTTTCTGGCCACCTCGCCAAACCCTTCTGCGGAGGCACTAAGCGCTCCTTTCAGAGAGAGGGGCCCTGGCTCGTGCAGATGTACAGCTCCCTAGTGGACAGGAGCCAGGGCGGAGGATGAAACTAAGTGTGGATGGGGAGGGAAGGCATGGTGGCGGGAGACAAACCAGGCAAGCAGAATAAGAACAATGGTGGGAATAAAAATCTCCTTTATTGCAGATAAAAGTCAGAGAATTAGAGAAAGATGTCAAAGAGGTCCTTAGCAGGAAAACAAAGCACAAACCCCAGAGTCAAACACAGTTGATTCTAGCGATAGGTATGTCCTATAAAGTTGCCGGGAACACTGAATTAGAGAACACCATTGCTCCTAGAGGAAATGCAGGGTTAGGTTCCTGCAAGCTTCTGATCATAACATTTATGTCAACCCATCAATATCCAATCTTGCCTTATGTGTGTTTCTTTGTAAAGACACCTTATTTAATGTATATTGTTGAGTCATTAACGTTGAAGAAGGCCAAGAGCACTATAACTCACATGTGAACAAAGCTCATGTAACACAGTTACTTTCTCCATAAGGCACATCACTGCCTTCTCATGCTTAGGGACACTGCACAGCACTGCAGCACGACACTTGGGGGCTGTTTTAAACAGCAAAATAACCAACAAAAAGCACACAAATGCAAAAACATGACACGAAATACACCACAAAAAAGGCACATTTGCAATATGACAGCTGAAACAAGAAGGTAGAGTGTTTCCTTGTTCAACCTAGGCTGGGAACGGACTTGTCAGAAGACTCAAATTTTTGCCACTCTTATCAGTCAATGACCTTGAAAAGACTATGCGTGTTGATTTGGGGGTTACCAATAAATTTTTGCGAGTGGGCAAATTGGCAAACACACAATCTTCAAATAATGAGAATTGAATGTACCAGTTAACAGAATTTGACATCTCTGTCAAAAAAGTATCTAGTCTTCCACAGAGGTGCTTACACTTTCGGATTCACTTGGACAAAGGGTGCCACATGCATGTCACACCATTTAGCTCAATACAAGCTTTACGGAAACAGTGGAGTCTCCCACTCATTTGGAATGGCGAGGTCAAGAGTCCATTTTGCATAATCCCTACTTCTGATGGTGACCACTGAACAACGCATCCTTCTCTTTTCTGCTCGCAATGGAATCCTCTCGGGGCAAATCTTCCCTGGGAAACAGGATGAAATCACACTTCCTTCCCCAGAGAAGTCACAGCTTGGTACAGGTGTTCTGGGGAAAAGGGTTCAGATGTGATACCCAGACAGCCATTCTTCCCCCTTGCAGCGACTCAAGGGTCTTGAGCACTTTGGTGACGTGGTCCGGTTTCAGGAGTCTGACTTTTGCTAATTTCCCCGTTGGGCTGGCGGGGGCTGGGAGTGTGCAGAGTTATCTTGGTATTGCTGCTGTTGCTATAAATGGAGTGGTTAATTTTGAGGGTCTTGGTGCCCCTCTCCAAAAAGCAGGCTTTGTCACCCCCAAAGGACTTCTTGGTTGCCACACTGTTTTCCTTCTGTGGACTAATAATGCCTCGTGCCTGTGTTTGGCTCTAAGTCCACATCCCTTAAAGCTTTGTTCTCAGCAGAAAGAACGCCGGCAATTAGAACCCAGCAAATGACTGTGTTGGCCTCTGGGACTCCCTTTGCTGTTTTCTTGTGATCAAGTAGAGCGCCTATTCTCTTTAGAGTCAGCCCCTCAGAACCGAAATAACAGCTATGCTTATGAGAAGCTGAAAAGAAGTGTGCACATAAGCCCCTGAGAAATTCTTTTAACCCTTCTCCATCTCCCCACCCCACCAGCCAGCAGGTTCCTGACTTACTGATGGAATAACCCTTCGGCAAACCGGGCAGTGAGACTCGGTCCAGAGCCTCATACACTTGGAAGGCTCTTCAAGACCAGCTGGCTCCCCGGCCACATTTTCCATGTGAAGACACTGAAGCCTGAGGCTGAGGGAAGATAAAGAATTGTCCAAGATCACGTGGCTCCTGAGTGGCAATGCAGGGCCACTGAGGAGGTCTCTGACCCGAAGTTCTATGCTCATTCCATTACTACGTTTTTCTTCTGGGTGACCAAGAATCCCACAAATTACTCTGGAAACTTCCCAACATCAACACCATAATGGCCCACGCCCAGGGGCAGAAGACAGGGCAGGGACTGGCAAATGGTTCTTCAGGGCGATTCCAGGTTCAGTAGTCTCTCGCTGAGCCCTCCTGACACAAATGACAGCAGCCCAGACCCCAACAACGAAAGAGTGATGTGTACTTTTCAAATGCGCCCCGACACGGCATTTCAGAGCACACCCACTGCCGTTAGGGAGCACTGTGTGCAAGCCCTTCCACCGTCCAGTCCACTCTGCCTGCAGGTGAACATGGGAAAACCTTGCCTCCACCCTCCTTGTCCCAATCCATGGTGAATTTGTAAAATCATATTTCTCTCACAAATATGTGAACAGCATGGGGGGTTGGTCAATTAGGAGGCACATTTCATAGCAAGTTAATATGCCCAGTGCTCATTCTTGGCTCTTTGAAAAGACCCCTTAGTAGTTATGAAATGTCCTCATCAGTAGACAGTGACCTGGACCCTCCCCTGAGAGAATTCCCAACCTCTCCCACCCTCCAAGCCCTTTCCCACCATCACAGCCCATTTACCCACTCCCAGGTATTCCCGTATCACACCGTGCAGTTCTGTCACCTCCCATCTCCCATCAGCCATGCTCCACACTAGCCATTCTCACGCTGGCTTAAATGCCATCTCTGCTGGAAAGCCACGCCTCCTCCCATTCCAAGTAGTAACGAATCCAGTTGTCCGTTTCCACAGCACTCGCTTCGAATCTCAATTATTATTTGTATTAGGGCCTGTTTTCTGATACTATTTCCACCTATCTCTGAGAGCCCTGAGATCAGGCACACTGCCCATTCAACTTTGCATCCTGCCCAGGGCAGGACCTGCCATGTGTGCGCTCTATAAATACATCCCTGGAGTAGTGTGGAGAGAAAAAAAGCTCTGTGGGAAATTACACAGCAGGGAAAAACATGCAAAAAGCAGGCCTGGTCTCCAGGGTGCACTCACGGTTTTTTCTGTTGTTCTCAGGAGAAGACCTGAAATTAAAAAGACTCCCAAGGAGCCCCAGATCCTCTCTTCCCCTCCTCCAGTGCTGAAGCCTGGGGCCCCGGGCTGGGTGTGAGGTAGGGAGGGCACAGGGGCGTAGGTGGCTCAGAGCAGGCCCCTCAGAGCACGGCCTGGGCTGCTGGGAGGGATCCGCCTCCAGAGGGCGCAGTGGATCACAGGGAGACTTTTGAATCAACACTCCCAACTCCTCCCTTTGTAGCCTTGGACGAGTCACTTATTTTCTCTGAGCTCCAGGTGCCTCATCTGTACAATGGGTGTAATTCCTGCCTTGTGGAATTCTGAGGAGGGTAAAGGAAGATGATCCATTTGAGCTCTTGCTAAAAGCATCCTCAGGTGTGTTGGGTTGTGTACCTCAGGTGGGTTGAGGTAGACAACTGCTGGTCCAGATCAACTAGAAGTATGGAAACGCAACTCATGCTTTCAACACTCCTGTAACCCTTTCATCAAATATTTCATCTCCATCAACAGGAACCTGGTCTTCCGGCAAAAATCTAAAAGGCTCATCTGGGCTTAACGGTCCTTCCTTGTTGACACTCATGGTACAGCACTAATCGTCTCCGAGGCAGACGCTTGCTGAATGCCTCCACTTCAAGTGTCTCCAGGAAGCAGCTTTCGAGGCGCATCTGAGACTAGCTTCTTGGGTGCACAGCCTCCGTCTCTCTCTCCACCTCCCTGAGCCCACACCTCAGGCAAAAACGAAGTACTTCTGGAAGCTCGATCCTGTCCAAAGTGGACCACAAATAGTCAAGGTGACAAATCCGAGGAAGAAGCCTTTTTGTGGGGACGTGAGCCCAGAGGGAGCACTCTGGGGTAGCTGCTTCGCCTTGAGACCCGCCTCTTGTGCTTCTGCGGCTCACCTCACTTCAGCAGACTCCCACCCTTGCATGCGTATTCCTCGGGGGTCTTGTCTCCCAGATCTGACCCCTCGATTCCTTGCCATGTCTCCTCTCTTGCCCTCTGTTCTCCGTCCTCCAGCTCGGGGGCTCAGGGCCTCTGCATGCACTGTGTCCTCCTCACATCACAGGACGGGCTCCTCATCCTCCGGCTCTCAGCCCGACCACGTCCCTGCCCTTCCCTTGGCAGCAGGCCCCCATTTAGCTCCACCACACTTTCCTGCCTCCCCAGCTGTCAGCCCACCAGGACAGGGACTCTTCGCTCACTGAAGGAGTAGACCACCAAACTGCTCCCCTGACCACCAGCCCGGGCAGGAGGACCCCATACTCTCGGCTCTGCCAGTAAATATGCAGCCTGGAAATGACCTGCATACATGCCCCGCTCAGGCACCGCACACTCTAACAGCCTGCAAAGGGGCAACGGCCCTTTAGCGTCTGAGGGTCCAGCTATGAATCAGTGGCTCAGGGGGAAGGGACAGTGGCTTCATTTTGGAACTTCCAAGGAGAGGAACTGGCACACAGCACAGCTGTCCTACTTAGCCAGCCTCCTTGCTAACACTCTCTAAACTGTGCCACAGGATTCTGAACACTTGTGTGACCTGGAATGCCCAATGGCGTCAATCGTCCTCCCAGGGACTAGCAAATGCAGGAAAAGAAAGTGCCAGCACCACACTCAGGCCATAAGGACAACTGCTACTACCTGAGTGGCAACAATTCACCCCAGACAAGCAAGGGCCTTGTTTAACCTGAGAGGACAAAGACATCCTCGATGTTGTTGGATGGAAAAGACCACGTGGTGACAGCGTCCCCAGATCAGGAACCCAGCTCTCAGTTGGTAGCTGTGGGGTCAAGGTCAAATCATTTTGCGCCTGTTTCCTCATCCCAAACACAGGCGTGACAACACTCCCTCAAAGGACTGCTGGAAGGACCGAGGTCAGAGAGAACACGTGTGCAGCACAGCACATATAGCACATGGCATGCAGTGTGCACGCAGTAACCTTAAAGGTTGCTATGGAAAGTTACCTCCAACAGCACCTGAGTGAACGCACATCGAGGTGCAAACCGTGTGGTAGAGGAGTTGGTGCTCTTGAGCCCTGGCTGACAGCCCGCGCTTTCAGGAAATACCTAATGGAACAGGAAGTGGCATATTTTCCCAGATAATCTTCATTTCATCCCTTTTATTTCCAGTCTATCGTTCTTAATAGCCCTCTTTACTGAACCATTGCTCTTCAAAAGACTTTTTATAGCTTTTTGCCCTTGGAGGAAGTTGAAGCTGGATGCTGTCTGAGCTCTTAAGTGATGAATCTGGTTAGGAGCCAGGCTCCTCCTGGCTCCTGGGGCATCTCTCTTGCACATCTCTCTGTGCTTCAGTCCCACTGTGGTTCAAAGGGAGGCAGAGGCCAGATCTCTGGGCCCCCTCCTGCTTTAACAGGATCTGATTGTACAAATTAACATAACCAGAGAGTCCACCTCGTCTCTGGCACTTCCTCCAACATTTTATGCATAGCTTTGTCAGCTGGGTTGCTGAGAGAACAAGAGAAAAGTCGGAAAGGCTCATCAGTTTCTTCTAACTCACCGGCTCTGAGGAGACGCCAGAGACTGTTCCAGAAGAAAGCCTCACCATCACCCACCACAGAAGCCACCCCGCTCCCAGGGACCCCGGGTCCTCGGCTTCCCAGGCCTGTGGTGGAGACCACGTGTGGAACTTTTTAAAGAAGTTTTTTAAAAGGCAGGTAGCACTTACTGATTCTAAGACTGTGGCGTAAATTCAGGCTTACGAAACAGATTATCTGGAACTGACCAGGAATGAAATTTCAGTTAGTTTCTCAGTGGGTTTTCTGGTGGGTTGAGGGAGTTAAGAGTTGGAGGCAAATTAGAGCCCGCCAGCTGTGTTCTCTTCTGTAACTCCTGATCCTCTTCAAACTCACCTCACTGCTGATAGAGCCAGTTGCAAAGCCAGGATGCTGGATGCTGGCTTCATTTCCTTCTTAAGAGCTGTGCCGGGCAGAGCAGACCGTCTCTGCCTAGACAGTGCTCATTCCTTTACGTGAGTTAAACTAAGGTTACCACAGAAAATACAGGACACCCAGGTAAATTTGCATTTCAAATAAACAACGCATCAGTTGTTGCTATAAGTATGTTCTAGGCAGTATTTGGAGCATACTTATGCGAAAGAATGACATTATTTATCTGAAATTCAAATTTAACTGACTATCCTGCATTTTTATTTGCTAAATTTGGTAACCCTAATTATAAGCATTTCAAGCAAAGACTAGTTGGTTCTTAGTCTCAAAGAACAGTCATGCGTCGCTTAATGACAGGGATCCGTTCTGAGAAATGTGTTGTTAGGTGATTTCATCGTTGTGTGAACATCAAGAGTGTACTTAGACAAACCTAGATGGGAGAGCCTACCACACAGCTAGGCTACATGGTACTAAACTTATGGGACCACCCTGTATTTGCAGCCCGTCGTTGACTGAGATGTCATTATGCGGAGCACGACCATATAACAACATGCCGAACCCAACCTCTCCCCTGCAAAAAAAATCCTCGAAATAAAACTTGTCTTTTTATTTCCAGGACATCTTTTTAAAAAACAGATTTTTATGAGTATCAAATAAAAAACAAAAAAAGGAGAGCTGTATCTTCATACAAGTCCCCCTAAATTAAGAGCTCAGTATGTCACCAGCCACAGGCTCTGTGCCAGCTACTCTTTGGGCCTCCCCAACTCAAAAGCACTTGGCTTTCAACTCATCAGAGGAGTGGGCAGAAGGGAGGAGGAGCAGAACTCAGAGGCGGCTACCTCCCAAAAGGGGCGTGCCAGGGCCGAGGGACAGCGGAGGAGGCAGGTGCTCATGGCAAAGGAACGAGAGGGAGCAGTGTGAGACCTCATGTAGACGTGTCTCTCCACAAAAAGCAGCACCCACCACAACAAGTTAACTGTGAGATACAAAGTTCCTGATTTTATAGAATACACAATGCCCATTAGTCAAGAGACAGACACCCCCCCACTCGGCCCTAACCCCTGCTTCTCCCCGTCTCTGCAATCGGGCTGGAAAGCGGGTCACCCTTCCCACACACGGCCAGCCTTCTGGGCAGATGGGCGCTGCGAGGCCTGGGGTAGTGCACTGTGCCGGGTAGGGGAAGACACAAAACACTTCCTGCAGTTTTTTAAAATCATGTTTTACTCTGGTAAGAAGTTACTCACATAATGCAGCGGCCTTAAAATTTTATTTTGCATGGTTATACAGCCTGAACGACTGGCTCGCGATCCAAGGCAGTTTTCCTGAGTTTTGCTGTTCAAGATGATATTGGTGTCGTTGCAGGGCACAAAGTCCTCACTGACAAAGAAATCACACTAATGAAACAAAATCAAAACCAGTGTACTGGGACCACAGATGACAAAGTGGCTCTAAGCAAGCCATTCCCACACCTCTCAGAGCAAAGGGAATCAAGAGCCAAAAAATACCTTTTAAAAATCAAATGGCACCTGGAACACACTCTTGTATAAAGGTCAAGCTTGTAAATTATTAATCCACGATGCTCAAAAGTGAGAGACTTAAACATAAGGCTAAAATCTGGTGAATCTTCTCACTTCCTCTTCTTCATGGAATAGAGTTTCTCTTCAAGTGGGACCGGGACAATCCCTCCACACTCTTTTACTTCCTGGGTCAGAGGGTGTTTTACAACATTCGGTCTAATCACATCAATGTCTCGAGACAAGTACTCCATTATGCTTTCAACAGCTGTTGGTGGTGCATAAAAATCCACCAAGAAATACCTGCAATAAAATAAAAATTTGTGAATTCCTGCTTTCTGAAATACAACAATTCCGCTAATTTGGTCAATGTTTTCATTTTACTCCTTCCCCAGATAAAGACATCAGCCACACACACACACTCTTTGTCAAGATAGAAATGCCAGCTGACCAGCAAAACAGAAGTGTAGTGTATACCCAATATCCCTTTTCCTACGGCCTTTTCCCGTTACACTCGCGTAAAAATCTGAATCCAAACAAACTTTGTGGTAGCAAAAAAGCAGTGTGACACTACATACAGCGGGAAACACAAGAAGTATGGTAAACTTAGGGGTGCGAGGACCGAACTTGCTGTTCAACAAGACTCAATTTTTCAAACCATTAGTTGACGTTTTTTGTGAAAACATGTATTAGTCTTCTAATTTTCCAAAGGAGTTTTCAAGTGACTCAATGTACCTAAGAGATACAGTAAGTACAATCAGCCACACTTTACAAATGAGGAAAAAGATTAAGAAAGGTCTGGGACTTGTCCAAGACTATCTTGCACATTCAAGAACTGACAAGGAACGAAAAGAAAATGACTTGAATCTTGGATGAGAGAAAGAATTTAACATTCCTCTACTCCGAACAGGCATCTCATAGAGCTCACTGGTCTTAAAGATCGACAACTGCATCAGCACTCAGCTGGGCAACAACACAAAGGAAGAAGCCTCTTTATTCCCGCCCGCCGCTCCTCTCAGTTCTGAACGTGCGAGCCTCCCTTGTATTGTGTGGTTTGGACCACAGCGTTGGTAAAGGACAGTTTCAATGCAGTGTTTCAGGATTCTGCGATGTTCCGGCTGGTTAAGATGACCTTTTGACTTCACATCACTTACTTTGTTCTGGTACATTCTTCTCCCAAAGATATTCCCATCCTAGGTCTTTGCACTCAATGTTCCTTCTGCCAGAAATGTTCTGTGCCCATAACTCATCCCTCACTTCCATCATGTTTCTGTCCAAATGTCACCGTGTCAGAGAGGCCTTCTCTGACCACTTCTAAAGCAATATCGTCCTTGCCCCCAACCCCCAGCCTCGTTACTCTATTTCACTTACTCAATGCTTTATTTTTTTTCCCACAGCACTTTATCACCACTGAAAGAGTATGTATATGTTTACTTTCTGTCTCACTCCACTAAGACATAACTGCTCTAGAAAGACGGATTTTGTTGCTCTATCCCCAGCACCCTGAACAGAGGCAAACATACAACAGATCCACAGTAAATACTTGACAGTGGTGGTGTTAGCACGAAAGGTGGGAGTCTCATAGAAAGCAGGAAAGACCAAATTGAACATGGACAAATTCAGCAAGGAAGGAAGTGATGAGAAAAAGGATGGAATTTTGTGTAATTCCACACAAACAGGGTTCAAAACTCATAAGAAAATTTCCCAAGCAACCATTCACTCTTAGCCAAGCCTAGTGGGAAAGTCATCCAAGTAAACAATAATTAAAAGTAAAAGGACAGAAAAACATTTATCATGTAAAAACATTAATCAAAAGAAAGCTCAAGTGGCTACAGTAATATCAGACAAAGTAGATTTCAGAACAAAGAAAATTACCAGGGGAAAAAAGACAATACATAATGCTGGGTTCACCAAGAAGGCACAACAGTCCTAAATGTGTCTGTAGCAGATAACAGAGCTTCAGCACAGAGGAAGCAAAAATTAACAGAACTGAAAAGACAAACAGACAAACCCACCACAATAGTTGGAGACTTTTAACGTTCCTCCCTCAGTAATGGATGGAACTAGCATACAGAAAATCAGCAAAGATAGAGAAAAAGTGAACACCACCATCAACCAATTTATCTGACATTTATAGAACCCTCCACCAGACAACAGCAGGATACGCACTGTTCTCAAGCACACGGAACATTTACCAAGGTCGACCACATTCTGGGCCATGAAGCAAGTCTCAACAAATCTAAAGGGATTCGAGTCACACAGAAAAATCTTGGAAAAAATCCCAAAATACTTGGAAACTAAACATATATCTATGGGTCAAATAACCTACAGATCAAAGAAGAAATCAAAAGGGAAAACATAAACTACTTTGAAATGAACAAAAATGAAAACAACATTAAAAAACTGGGGGGATGCCACGAAAGCAGTACTTAAGAGGACATTTATAGCACTAAACACCTTCGTAGCAAAAGAAAAAGGCCTCAAGTCAATGATCTCAGCTTCCACCTTAAGAAACTGAAAAAAGAGGAGCAAATTAAATGTAAAGTAAGACAATACTATTAATGCTAATAACAAAGATCAGAGCAGAAACCTCTGAAATCAGGAAACAGAAAAACCATAGAGCAAATCAATGAAACCAAATACTAGTTCACTGAGAAGATCAATAAAACCGATATACCTCTAGTGAGACTGATCAATAAAAAGAGATAAGACACAAATTACCAATATTCGAGAATGAGAGAGGTGAAATGACTACTATTAAAAGGATGGTAAGGGAATATCATAAACAATTTCTGCAATAAATTTGACAACTTAGCCAAAAGTCCCTGAAAAATACCAACTACCAAAACTCACTCAAGAATAAACAGATAACCTGAATAGCCCTATATTTACTAAAGAAATTAAATTTGTAGTTACAAACCCTCCCGCAAAGAAAACTACAGACCCAAATGGCTTCACTGGTAAATTCTACCAAATGTTTAAGGGAAAAATACCAATTTTGATACAAACTGATCCAGAAAATAGGAAAACAATTCTGAACTTGTTTTATGAGGCCAGCATTACCCTGATACCAAGACAGACAAAGACGTTACAAGAAAAGAAAAAAACAGACCAATGTCCCTCACGAACATAAATGAAAAAATCCTAAACAAAATTTTAGCAAATTGACTACTATAATATATAAAAAGGACAATACAGGATGACCAAGTAGGGTTTAGCCCAAGAATGCAAGATTGGCTTAACATCTGAAAACCAATCAATGCAAATCACCATATTAGCAAATGAGAAAAAGAAAAATCACGTGATCAGTTCACTAGACACACACAAAAAAGCACTTAAATTCTCATGCCCATTTTTTATTACACTCGCAGCAAACTAGGGATAGAAAGGACCCTCTTCAACCTTATAAAGAGTATCTTTGAAAAACCTGCAACTAACATCATCCTAGCTGGTGATCTGGATGCTTTCCCCCTAAGATATGGAACAAACGAAAATATCTGCTTTCACCACTTCTATTCAACATTTTACTGCAGGTTCTTGTCAGTGCAAATAAGGCAAAATAAATATATGAATAAATAAAAGGCATCCAGCATGGGAAGGAAGAAGTAAAGACTGTCTTTATACATAAGTCATGATTGTGTATATGGAAAAATGTGAAAAAATTTATCAAAAAAAAAAGCTACTTGAACTAGTAAGTTTAGCAAGGTTACAAGATACAAGATCAATATACAAAAACTCAACTATATTTCTATATACTAGCAACAAATAATCAGACCTTAAATTAAATATAAAAATACTTAGGGATAATTCTGACAAAAGATGTGCAAGACCTGTACACTAAAAACCACAAAACGTTGCTGAAAGAATTTAGAGAAAACCTACACAAATGCAGAGGGATGTCTTGTCCATCGATAGAAAGATTCAAATTTATTTAGACATCAATTCTCCCAAAGTGACTTACAGATCCAAAAGAATCGCAATCAAAATCCTAGCAGACTTTTTTATTAGAAATTGACAAACTGATTCTAAAGTTCATATGAAAATTCAAAGAATGAGAACAGTCAAAACAACGCTGATAAAGCATAAAGTTGAAGGACTAACACTATCTGATTTCAAGACTTATTATAAAGCGACAGTAATCAAGACAGTGTGGTATTCATATAAAGACACACAAATAGATCAAGAGAACAGAGAGTCCTGAAATAGACCTATACATTTATGCACAACTGATTTTTGACAAAGCTGCAAACGCAATTCAGTGGAGAACGGACAGACTTTTCAACAAATGGTGCTGGAACAATTCAATATCTAGGTGCAAAAAAATGAAGTTTGATACATATCTGTACCATATACAAAAATGAACTCAAAATGCAGCACAGATCTAAACATAAAACATAAACCTATACAACTAGAAGAAAACACAGGAGAAAACCTTCGTGACCTTGGGTTAAGCAGGGACACCTTAGACACAATCCATAAAAGAAAAATTTGATAAATTAGACATCAAAATTAAAAAGTGCTCTTTCAAAGAGACTGTTAAGATAATAAAAAGACAAGCTACAGGCTAGGATTTGTAAATCACACGTCTGATAAAGAACTTGATTCTAGAATACAAAGAACTCACAAAATTTAATTTTTAATAAAAGCCATTTTTAAAAAATGGGCATAAGATCTGAAGAGCATTTCACCGAAGATATACAATGGTGAAGAAGCACATGAAAAGATGCTCAATACAATTAGTCATTAGAGAAATGCAAATGAAAACGACAGAGAGAAACCTACTAGAACGGCTATAATTAAAAACACTGACCATACCAAGTGCTGCTGAGGACGCAGAAGAACAGGCATTCTCATGCACTGCTAGGGGGAAGCAAAAATGATACAACCACTTCGGAAAACAGCTTGGCATTTTCTTAAAGACAAACATATCCCCGCTATTATGATCAAGCCATTTCACTCCTAGGTATTTACCCAAGAAAATTAAAGAATGTGCCCATACAACAACTTGTACATGAATGTTTATAGCAGTTTTATTTATAAACAACACTAATATCCATCAATATGTAAACTGATAAGCAAACTGTGGTATATCCATACAATGGCATACTATTTGGCAATAAAAAGAAATAAACTATTGATACAGACTATTGACGAATGTCATCACAATTTTGCTGAGTGAAAGAAACTAGAGTAAAAAAGAGTACATACTGTCTGATTCTACCTAAATAAGATTCTAGAAAATGTAAACTAATCTATAGTGAAAGAAAGCAGATCAGTGGTTTCTAGGGATGGGGGTACAAGCA